AATAGCTTTGAAAGGGCCAGCCAAAAAAAGCACCTACAAACAGGCGCAGGGGTTGGGGGATGGATCCCCAGGCCTGCCGTGTGGGCTCTGCCCACAAAGACACGCCGAGATGGCAATTGAGATTGGGCATAGTAGCGCACACCTGTAATCCCAGCACTTGGGAGGCTGTAAACAGGCGGATCACGACTCCAATCTAGCAGTGAGACCCTGAACACCCTGTAGACCCTTCCCTAAAAGAAAGAATAGCTTTGAAACAATTTCTAAACTCAGTAGCACAAGCACCTGCCTGGCAAGCACAAGGTCCAGAGTTCAGTCCCTGATGGTGTGTTTAAAATAAATCTAACGTTAAATCGGTTGTGGCAGCAAGGAAAGATGAAGACTCGGCTCCCAGGAGCTGGGGACCTGGCCTGCTCACGGTCACCCGTGAGCGCTTCCTCCTGGCGACAGCCGCTCACCTGGTCAGCTCCACGTGCGCGTGGTCGTGGACGAGCACGAAGAGCGTGTAGGGGTTCTGCCGCACCCGCCGCAGGAACGCTTCCAGCTTGCTCTGCAGCTCCCCGTCCAGGCGCACCACGTACTTCTCCGCCCTCTGGTGCGCCGTGGCCGTCTCCTCCAGGCCCAGGTCTACAAGGACGCCTGCCGGAGGAAAAGGCGTGGCTCTTCTCCCACACGCGACACGCGCGCCTGCGCCCACGCGCGAGCCCCGTCGCGGCCCCTGGACACAGGTGAGGAAAGGCCACCGCGGAGCAGAGCGGGCCTCTCCCCTCTTCAGGCCTCACAGTGCAATTCCCAGAAGGAAAGTCCGGATTTCCTTTGTACCAGAGCGTCCCCCCAGCCACCCACCCAAGGGACCCTGAGAGGCGAGGCAGAAGCCCGGCAAGGGCAGGCACGCTTCTTCACGGTCCCCCTCTACATGTGAAGTGCTGGACACAGCAGGCCGCCAGGAAAACGGCAGGCGAGTCAACACAAGTGCGTGAGACCTCCCTGCCCCAAATGCAACAGTGGGGAGAGCTGAGGGAAAACGCAGCGCGAGGTCTCCACAGACTCGTGCCAGGCTGCGCGTCTTTTCTTTAAACGTGGCTGTGCTTTCCCCTCCGTGCTGGGACTGCACTGAGAGCCGTGCCCAGCCAGGAGGGTGCCCAGCCAGCCCAGGTCCCGGCCGGCGTGCGCACTTCCACGCAGCGATGCACGGTAGGGTGTGGGCCACCTTCCACGGAGGGTAGATTTATGTGCCAAGTGAGTAAAATGAAAATGACCCGCAGTTACCGTACTCCTGAAATGTTAGACGCTGCAAGACCTTAGGATGACACCATTTTTCCTATGACAAAATTACTAATTACTAAGACATCTAAAATAGTCAAAGGTGCATGAAGCTGTTGTTGTTGGCATAATTAAGACAGCACATTCTTCTTTAAATTGAGGAGACTTTATGATTTATGATTTCATTCTGTTTCACCTTTATTTCAAAATAACACTGGCCCAATTAACAACTACACGCAAGCGGCATCTAGAAACTGTGATACCAACAGCCCTAAGAGGCGTAAAAGAAAAGAAGGCAAATGTTTTGCCAAGTGAAAAATTCATTATACCAGACAAGGTGGACAGAAAGGCAATTTTGCTTTTAAGCATCTTTTATTTGAAGATTAAGCAGTTTTAGAGTTTGTTTTCAATCTCCTTAGATTTGTAAATCAGCAGAGCGGCATTGGTTGAGACTTAGACCTTAGGAAATAAGCGGTGTAAGCTATGGGCACTCTCATTTGAAAAGATCCTAAGTAACCCAGACAGGAAAAATACACCTTGTGGATAATTAAGAGTTGACTGCATTTCAGAACAAATGAATTAAAGAGTGATAGTGTGACTGACAGTTCAACTCAGAGGTATCCTCAAGGGGCAAACCCTGGGAATTAAAATGACTTTTGCTTGGGTATGATACAGGCTTAGTTCATAATTACACAGCCAGTTAGGCAGAAAGCAGGCTTAGGAAAGGTACTTGCTTTATTTATGAGTATTTTTAGTAGATATTCTTACCTTTAAATTTTGTTTTAGACTTGCTCTTATTTTTAAAATTTGTTTTTTTCCTGGTTATGAAGATGATATATCCTCATCTTGGAAAAACTGGAAACTATAGAGATATATTTTTTTTTAAAAAGAAAATGTATTCATGAATCTTTAACCTAAGATAAGCTACTGCTTTATGTTTCTGGGCTTTCCTTCCTGTGTTGTCTATCAGTATTGTGTTCCCTTCTTTGCATTTTACTACAGAATGTCCCAGTGGTTTTCACTTAGGACTCTAAGGTAAGCAACAAAACTACCACTGCTTACTAATAATCATGTAGAACACCCAAAATAATCCATGGATAAGTCAATTAAATTAGTAAGAATTTAGTGCAATGGACAGGTTTTAATTTCCGAGGGGCTGGGGATGGCACAGAGGCAGAGGTTGCTCAGCAAGCAGTAAGGCCCAAGTGAATCCCTCCCCGCAGTCAGCTCACAAAAATTACTTGTAGTTCTCTGTACAACAGCAAACAAGAAAAGTCTTTCCAGCAGCTGAGGATGTAGCTCAGCGGTGCTGTGCTTGCCTAGCATGTGCAAGACCCTGGCTTCAAGCCCAGCAAGAGCAAAGCAAAGAACTCCAAACAAAACCAACCAAACAAAAAGCACAAAAGCTATGTAAGAACTCTGTGGAGAAAATGATGGAACATACACTAAAGAAGATCCAAATAAAACTATCATAAAATATAGCTAGCATTTAAACTTTCCTCAGATTTATAAAGAAGCTCAAGGTGCAGACAATATGAATTCTTTTATTTATTTTTTAATGTATCTGGTGCAGGGTCTCACTATGCAGCTTGCACTGGTAGTGATCCTTCTGTTTTCAGCTTCCTCAGTACTGGGATTACAGGCATGCACCACCACGCCGGGCCTCGGTGGCCGGCTCAGTGCTCCTGGGGGCAGGGCCAGTATGGCATATGGAAGAAAGACGAGAGGATTACAAAAAAATTTAGAGCTGTATTAATCAAATACAGTGGTTTGGGCACAGGCTGGAAACTGAAACAGCATCACAGCTAGAAACATAATGTGCCAGAGAGCCAGCTGCGCCAAAGAACTGAAAGACTATAAATTTGTGTATTTATTAATCAGTTCAATTAATCAACGATTACTAGTTTACTTTTACTTTTTTATTATTTTGTACTTACTGTTGTTATTGCTAAATTGTTTGGAAGTGAGTACCCTATGTCTCAATATTTTGCCTCTGGGTCAATATGCGTTTCATTAGGACAAAGGCGTTTTGCTATGTGATTGCAGTGTCATTATTACTTTAAGGAACTGAACTAACAGCTCTAATGTTTAATGCACAGATGCTATTTGTGTTTCACCAACTGTCTCAGAACTACGTTTTTTATCTCTTATTTTTAAGGTTAAAGATTCAGTCAAGAATTAACCAAGTGTTAGGGGCCTGGGAAAATTAGGGAAATGTTGGTTAGAGAACTCAAAATTTCAATTTTACGTAAGAATAATAAATTCAAGAATTTTATTCAATAACATAGTGATTGCAGTTAATAACAATGTATTATATTCCTGGAAGTTGCTAAGAATACATTTTAAAAAATTAATTTAGTTTTATTAACTATTCTATTTATTTGAAGCACAGCCAAAATATTGGTACACTGTGGGAATTCAGAGGCACAAGGTACACTGCCATTTAACTTGAGGAAATTATAGAGTTAAAAAAAAAAAAGGAAATAAAAATGAAAACTCTTTTCTCCTGCTTCAAACACTGCATTACATAATTTTACCTGTCCAAACAGACCATTTACAAATAATTAGGTCAGCAAACTTCTTTTTGTTGGCGTGTGTGTGTTGTTTAGGACAGGGCCTACAGGGGCTACAGGGTTTCACTGCGTAGATTGGACTCAAGTGATCCTCCTGTTTACAGCCTCCCAAGTGCTGGGATTACAGGCGCACGCCACCACGTGCAGTCTCAATGGGACCCCCAGCCCCTGTGTCTGCCTATGCAGGTGCTTTAATCTGCTGAGCTATTTGGCAGGCATTCATAAGTCAGTAAACTTCTAACATCCATAAAAAGACTTTGTTACAAAAATGCAAGAATTTAGAAGTGGTGTCTAAACAGAAGACAAAACCAAACTGGAATGAAAGTCTAGATATCTCATCTAGAGTCGGGTTTTGTTTGGCCTTCGTAGTCTTCTCTCCTCCCACCATGTCCTGCTGAATTCCGGGCCCCCCACAGGCCCCGCACCTCCCACCCAAAGCGCTCAGGACGCCTGTCGCTGGCCATCACGGAGCCACTCCTGGCTGTGGCGGAACTCGGGGGTTAGCTGCATAACCTGTGCCACCACCACCACCTAGAGGTGGAAATGTAGAAATACGGAAGGCTTCACCAACTTGCCTGTCAGCCCTGTGCACGGGCCACACTAATCCTCTCTGTATCGTTCCAATTTTAGTGTATGTGCTGCCGACGTGAGCACTAAGAATACATTTTAAATAGTCTCTTCACAAAATAATGAGGTAATGGATGTGTTAATTAGCTTGATACAGCCATTCTAGAATGTAGACTTACATCAAAATATTCTGTATACCTGATACACAATAAGTGTTAGTCAAAAGTAATGAAAGGACTAAGCATTGCGTTTGTCATGTCTCTCTATGCTCTTTAATTAAAACCACCAAACAGCCTGTCTTTTCCTTCTCTTTTCCTTTTTCTTTCTATTTCTTCCATTTTTCCCCTTGCTTCCCTCCTTCTTTCCTTCTCTCTTCCTTCCCTTTTTGTCCCTGATCTTTTACGACAGTGATACTTTTAAAAGTTCAGGCTGATTGTTTTGCAGAACGTCACGACAATCATCTGAATTTTTTTTTCTGGTGAGGGGGTCTCACTATGTAGTTCAAGCTGGCCTTGAACTCCTCATTTAGCCCAAGTTGGCCTCAAACTCATGGCGATCCTCCTGCCGCAGCTTCTAGTTTCTTAGTGATTAAACTCGTGCATGTTTTTGGCAGAGACCCCTCATAGGAGACATCAGGTGCTTCTCTTTGCACCTAAGGTCAATTTGGCCTGTCACTGGAGATGCCAGTGCTCAGCTGCTTGGTAAGAGAGTGTCTCTCCACTGTAGAGATTTTTTTTTTTTTTAATTTAGTACAGGGACTCACTACACAGATTGGACTCTTAGCAATCCTCCTGTTTTCAGCTTCCCAAGCACTGGAATTACAGGCATGTGCCACTATGCCCAGTCTCAGCGTGCCCCACAGGTGGGGCTGGCGCAGCATTCTGGGGGCGTCGAATCCCGACCCCTGCGCCTCCCTAAGCAGGCCCTTTAGTTTGCTGAGCCATCTGGCTGGCCCTTTTGTCTTTTTGAGACAGGCTCTCACTGTGCAGTTCAGGCTGGCCTTGAACTCACTTTGTACCCCAGGCTGACCTTGAACTCACAGTGATCCTCTTGCCTCAGCCTTCTGAGTGTTGGGATTACAGGTGTGTGTACCACGCCTGGCTACTTTCATTTTTCTCTTCATACTTTTGTTTGCTTCCCAGCGCTGGAGATGGAACCCAGGCCCTCACGTGTCCCAGACACACTCCCACTGAGTTACACTGCCATCCTCTCTGTAGCTTTTAACCCATGGAATGATCTTGGAGACCATGTGAATGTTCTCCAATGACATTTTTTAATTCACTGGTTTTAAGATCCATGGATGATCTTGCAGGAATCAATAATTAGGGATTCTGTAACCTGGCTAATATTAGTGGGTCCTCTTCTGTAAGGTGGGGTCTCCCCGCTTCTCCCTTCTCCGTCCCCTTTCATTTCTCAGCATTACTCTAGACCAGTGATGGGGAGCCTTTTCCAGGTGAGGGCCCGAACCGCAGCCCACACCCGCTTGCTTATCACAGAGTGCCACAGCACTGTGACTAATCCTGCAGACTAAGGCTTTAGCTTAGAGAAAACGACTCTACATTAGTGTCTTGTGTCCTCAAAGAAAAACCACACAGCGCCATTGGGTCGCTACCACTGTTCTAGACAAATTTCAGCAGGCTACAGTCTATTGCCAACATTCCTTTTGATGCTCAAAATTTCCAAATGTGGGCAGTAACATCTCCTTCAAGCAGGCCTCTATGTCCTTTAAACATGTCCCCATTAATCTTTGGCAATTGTTCTTTCTGTTACAAGGAAATATTCCAGGCCATTCCCACCTCAGAGCTTGGATGGTGGAGAATGGCATTTATAAACTACAATCTGGACCCTAAATGTGCTCATTGAGACTGACACAGCACGGTGTATAAAGGCCTTTTAAAAAACACATAAAAACTATATTGAATTTTTTATATTATGAGAAAACATACATATCTCCAATTTAAATCTAAAAGGGATAATCCTTGCCTTTTCCCATTCGATATTTGAGAGCCCCTTCTTTCATGTAGGAACCCTAGTTCTCAGAGACATGATCTGAGATGCTGATAAATGGATGGTCTTTGTTCTGTGTTCTTAATAATTTAACTTGCTTACCACTCTTCTATAAGATTAAATAAAATTTATTTTCTAATAAATTATGAAAAGTCTGCAATATTTTTCCAGGTCTACCACAACAAAATGAAACAAAACAAAACACTCCAGATATTAGCAGAGCCCACTCAGCATACTGATGGTGGAAACAAGAGACGGGCCAGGTGCGGTGGCACAGCCTGTAATCCCAGCACTCGGATCTGAGGCAGGAAGATCACTCTGAGTTCAAGGCCTCCCTGACTACGTAGTGAAGCCAATGCCAGCCTACAATGCACAGCCAGGCCCTGCCTGAAAAACAAAAAACAAACAAACAAACAAACAAACAAACAACAACCACCTAAGAAAGAAACCAAAGGACTCTGGGCTATGTCCACATAGACTCTCAATCTTACATTTGACAGGAGTGGGAAGTAGGGTGGTATCAATGATTCTTCTTTTACAATTTGCAGCTTCCTGAGATCTGAAGGAAGGCAGGTTTAGGAGCCACCTTGCACCCTACGCTTATCACTCCCTCCATGGGGAGCTGCACAAGGTAGTGCCCAGTCACAGGCACCCTGCAGAAGTGACCAGCTCTGCTGGGCCCTGGCTAGGAAGTCTCTCCGAGGGCCAAGGACTCTAAGCAGCTGGACCAGAGCTGTCCTTTTCTTTCTGAAGCTTACAAAATCCAGCTGTGGGAAGGCACAGCTGAGCATTAGCCTGTACGGTATTTCTCTTTATGGGATCGGAGGGAAAACGATCCTCGCAGGCCAGTCCTCTCAAAACATTAAAGAGGATGCAGCAACTCTTCCACAATCTAGAGGCCTCAGAGGGGAATTCGGCCAAGAGCAGAGCTCCATGTTTATGATCCCGAGTGCCAAGGGCCACGGAATTGGGACTGGGAACAAGAGCCAAGACCCGGCCCCGATCAGTCTGAGCATCAAAGGAGCCGAGTGGCCAGCAAACCCTGTGCTGTTCAGGTACCATTAAGGATGATCTAGCGCTCATCTAGACACCCCGCTACGTGGCCAGCTCTTTGGGGAGGACAATGTGTTCTGACTTGTACGTTGTCTCTTTGTTTTTGTTTTTTGTTTTTTTTTGTTTTTTTTTTTTTAACCAAGCATTTTGAAGGTTTGATTCCTAATTTTTATTTTTTGCTCTTCCCACCAAGAAAATAGGCCAAAGAAAAATAAAACTCTTAATTTTGGTGGTTTATCTCTGTGGATCAAATTGATTTCATTGAAGTTTTGGTATGAAAAAAACTCACTAAGACTAGTTCTGAAAAAGAGAAAAGTCAGGACAGGGATGTAGCTCTCTGGCCTGATATTTGTCTTTTTTGTTTTGTTTTTTTAATGCAGAACTGGGGATTGAACTCAGCCCTTGTGCTTGCCAGGCAAGCACTTACTCTACTGAGCCATCTCCCGGCCCCTTGCTTGGGTTTTCTCTCTGGCACATACACACACACACACACACACACACACACACACACACGTACACACACGCGCACACATGGACACATACATGCATGCACACACACGCACAATGCACACATACATCAGGAAATGTTAAATCATTAGGAGATACTGAGTTTTTAAGTATTACTTTTAACATTAGGCCTTCTTCACCCTTGTGGTCTCTTTGCAGTAAATAACTGGGGACTGAGCTGGGGTCACTGGTTAATATTCTGCTAGTGGCGTTCAGCGCCTGCTGACCTTGCAGTCGCTTTGTGTCCTGTGTCCTCCCCCAGAAAGAAGCCTACACAGCCTGGGCACAGGGACACCGTGAAGGGTCTTCAGGGTGGCAGCACTGGACCCAAAGGAGAACAGCATTCTGCACATGTGCACAGCTCCAGGCCTGGTGTGACTGGCAGGCGCCCTCTGCCTCTAGCCCCAGAGGGCCTCTATCTACCCGTGGCCAAAGTTGATTTCCAGGGGAAAAAAAAAAAAAAAAAAAAAAAGGTGTTTTTTGTTTTTTTTTTCTGGAACCGGTGATTGAACTCAGGCCCTTGCGCTTGCCAGGGAAGCGCTTAGTCTACTGAGCCTTCTCCTGGCCCCATTTATTTTTATTTTTATTTTTATTTTTTTCGAGACAAGGTCTCACCATGTAATAGTTCAGGTTGGCTTTAAATTCATTACATAGCCCCAGATGGCCAAGAACTGGAGATTCTTCTGCCTCAGCCTCCCAAGGGCTAGGATTACAGGTTTGCACCATTATGCCCAGTTTGGAAGACGTTTCTAAGGGTTAAATTTGGTTTTGCCAGAACACTATCAAATCTGAACTATTCTTTCTATATTTTCATTTTGAAAATATATTTAACTTAACATTTAATTCCAAATGTTAGAAAAATTCAGTCCAGCAAATAGGAAGTACTGGCTAGGCTCATGGCCTGACAGACATGTTCCCCAGCACAATTTACTCTCTGCTGCAGTGGGGGGCCATGCATAAACACAGAATCTCAGCCCAGTGTGCGGGGTGCCGTGGCTGGGGACCCCCAGGGCATGTGTGAGCAGCGCCCAGGAGAGGCTGAGGAACGCAGGAGGGACCAGAGAGCTAGAGCAGGTCAGCAGGGCTGCCAACAGTGCAGCTACTCCAGAGGCTGCGGAGGTCAAGGTCGCGTGGGGAGGCGCAGGGCTGTGGTGGCTGTGATGTGAGGGGAGATGAGGCTGGAGGAAGACCCCGGGGGAGGGAGACCCTGGCAGCTCCCCACGCAGTTGCCTGCCGCTGGCTGGAGGCACAGAGCTGCAGGCTGGGGGTCAGTACAGCTTCTTCTGAGGGGCTCACGCCTCACAATGCAGTCTACACCCTCGCTTGGGCCGGCCTCTACCTTGCCTGCATCCTGACTCTTGTGTTCAGAGTGGGGGGCAGGGTTTTGACTGAGAGAAAGAGAAAGAAAGCATTGGGAAGTGGCAAGGACAGATGAGATGATCCACGGGGAAGGTCCCTGTGAACAGCCGTCCCCTCAGAGTCCAAGGCTGCGACTGTGCAGCGAGGAGTCTGTGGTTGCCACTGGGAATCCTGTATGCCGGACCCGTCTCCAGCACGGTGCAGGACATGGTCCAGGTGAGTGCAACAGAGCTGGGGAGGTGTTAGGTGAGAGGACACCGGCTGGGTCCCTTGAGTGTTCAGGACATTTGTAGGAAGCAGTCTGTTTTCTCCATCTGGGGAAGAGTGATTTCCTGGGCCACTTCCACAAACCCCCTAACCTGTGTCCTGCTGTTTATTTATTGGGGATTGAACCCAGGGCCCTTGCACTGAGCTATACCCCCAGCCTCTTTTTAATTTTGTATTTTAAAACAGGATCTCACTAAATTGTCCAACCTTGGCTCGAACTTAGGACACTTTGCCTCAGCCTCCCAGTGTGCAGGGGCTATAGATGGGCACCGTTATACCTGGCTCCAGCAGTCTCTGTCTCTGTCCAAGAAAAGCTAACCTTTTCCCCTACTGGGATTTTAGGAGGTCATGGAGGAGACAGAAGGCGGACAAGACCACAAAGACGTGTTTAGAATGCTTTCTCCTCACTCTTTACGTCTGCTCCTTACAACCTCCTTCTGCCTGTTTGGACAGAGTAATCTACCCACCCGTCAGTGGCCAGCTCTTGCTGGCTCGTGCAAGGTCATGTACATGGGCCAACCCCTCTTGGCCACAACTGCCAGGCCAGCCCCCTCCTGGTCTCCTAGCTCTGCCATTTGAAAGTGAGAACAAGCACTCCAGTGCGCCTGGTGTTTATTCCCTCTGCCTTGAACTGAAGGTGGCCTGCATTTTGATGACTCCAGTATCCTAGTAATATTCTAATTAATATGATAGGGAGTCCTCTGAATTAGAAAAATCATGCCACAATTTCATATGTATTTTTAAAAATGACATTAACACTGAAGTACTTCCATACTATAAAAATGTTCTTGCTGGGCTTGGTGGCGCACGCCCGTAATCCCAGCCCGTGGGAGGCTGAGGCAGGAGGATCGGGTGAATTCAGGCCAGCATACCCTGCCTGGGGAGGCTCTGTCTCCAAAAGGAAAAGCTCCTTTTCTCCACTGATCACTCCTGCAGCCACGAGTCGACTTTGGGAAAACTTGAAAATGTTCAGCCCATTGCCCTCCCGCAACCTCCAAGTTCCTTCCGTAGTTCTTGTTTCCCTTTGTCCCCTCCTTCCCTTCTCTCCTTCCTCTGTAATTAGGGTGTGAGCTGCAGGAGCAAATGCTTGGTTTTGGTGCTGCATCTGCGGCAATGCGACGCTTTCGCCTTCATCCTGACTCAGCCCTGCTGGGCTGCCAAGGCTGTGCCCTTTCTGTGTTGGCACGGGCTTCGCAGATGCTAAAATGCTCTCTTTAAGAAAGGACGGAGACAAATCAGAAAACAGAGAGTGTGGGTGGGTGTCTTCTCCATCCGTTCCTTCCCTCCCTCTCTGCAGCCCTCCATTCAAAGCCCCTCCACACACAGCTGGCCCAGCCCGAGAGGCATCCGACAGACCAAGAGGCATCCAAGGATGAACAAAGGTGCCTCCAAGGACTGTGCACTGTGCCCCGGTGAGACCAAGCTCTCCTCGGTGACAGAGCAGAGAGGGCTCATCAGATGACTGCTTGGCAGCTTTTCCTGTTTTAGCAGCTATGCTATTCAAAAGGTCTTTAAATGAATAATTCTTTGCAAAGTACTTGTTCTGCCTGGACAGTTTCTCCTTACACCTTAGCATGTGTATGGGCTTTTCTTTTCTATCAATTGGTACGTGTTCTAAGAATGTAAAGGCATTTAAATGTCAAGACAAATAAATTTGGGCATGGCCATAACATGGAATACTATGTATTTGTGAAGAACGCTGCTTGCGCCAGGCCTGGTGGTACACACCTGTAACTTTAACATGCTGGGAGGCCGAGGCAGCAGATCCAAAGTCTGAGGCCAACCTAAGCAAATTAGCAACTCTGTAAGATCTTGTCTCAAAACAAAGAAGGGGCAAGGATGTAGCTCTGCGTGGTACAATCCCCAGAGCCACGAAGAAATGGAAAAAGGAAAAGTACGCTGCTTATGATAGGCAGGGAAGACAGAAGTCATACTAGGTGAAGTCACTTGTTAACAGCAAAATGTTTATGGTGGATGTGAGTGGTGGGGTCACTTGGGGCTGCTGGGGCCAGGCTCAGCACGTGAAGCACACACCGGCACTGAGTGATGGCCTGGCCCCAGATACTTGTTCTCCTGCTTCATTTTTTGAGATAATATCACAGTTATGTTTTCCTGTAATAAAAATGACAGGTTTTTTTTTTTTTTTTTTTTTTTCCTGTTTTGGTGCTGGGAACTGAACTCAGGGCCTTGCCCTTACCAGGCAGGTGCTCTGCCTTGAGCTGTGTCCTTAGCCCAGAAAGTTATTTTGAGTACACAAATGTGATTATTTTTGCAGCAAAAATTTCTGTATAGATGCCAAAGCTGCATGTGAGTAATTGCCAAAACATGCTTTCCTTTGACTTCTCCAGATCTGCCTGGGACCGATTTTTTTTTCTTCACCTAGATTTTAAGCTCATATAATGGATCATATACTAGGATTTTTTTGTTTTGAAGGTATGACAATACAATCTTGAAAAAACTTGCTTTACAAAAATCTGAGGGTACTGACAAAGGGAAAGAGATGTATATCACTTCTCCATTTGTCAGAAGTGCAAGGTTTTCTTGAGGGGTCTGGATTTATTAGACAAGGTCAGAGAGCAGGTCATAGGGGCTATTTCAGGAAGGGCTCTGCAGATGCTTCTGTCACTCCCAACAAGTGCTGGATGCTCGCTTGACTTGGATATCAGATCACAGCAGAGAGGATGCCAAGGCCGACTTCTGAGGGGGACAATTTTCTAAATATAGTGCAAGTAAAACACCTACAAAAGAAGGCATGTGTGGAAACAGAAAATATGTAAGAGATGAAAACATATGGGTACTGCGTGGTGACACAGGAACCCGCCTGCTGCTTCCACTGCAGAGGCAGAAAGAAAATACAGAACTAGGCGATATCTAAGAGAGCCCAGCACTCACACTGGATTCTGGGAGAGCTGTGACAGAAGGCATTTGTCCTCTGTCCTTTGGTCACTTCTCACTTACAAGTCTGTATTTCCAAGAGGTTATTTTATAACTTGGCATTTAGAGGTTCAAAAGGAGATTGCGCTGGGGTGTCCATGGGCTGTGGCCAGGACCTCCTGTGTGCCAGTCATAAGCACCAGGACAGGCTCAAGCAAGTGGGGAGCCCTACTGAAAGTCAGCTCGTTCTGCTCCTGTAACTAACAAGGGGAGCTTCTCACACGGCCGTGCTGCTCGAAGTGTGGCCCTCAGACCAGCAACACTGGCCTGGGCGTGTCCACTGGAGGGGAATCTGTGGTCCAACACTACCGCTGGTGAGCTGTGCGAAGGTGAACCTTGAGAGACCCTCTATGGCAGGTGTGGCACACACAAGCCACAAGTGAAGCAGGCCTGAATTTTTTTGTTTCCTACCTACTTTCAGATACATTAAAATTAAAATACCATGGCCAAAAAATGGTTCATCCTCTAGCTCAAATTGTGTGGGCGTGTGTGCATTTCTCCCAACTGAGGTCATCTGAAGCGACGTGATTCTTGCCCTTTCCAACCTAGTTTCCTCAGGTTGCCCAGTTTCTAAATTATGGCTCTTTGTGATCCCAGGCACATTTTATTTTTGACAAGGGATATTGCTTACTACAGGCCTGTAAAATTTTTGTTCTCTACTTTTTTATACTTTCATATTTTTTCCTGCCTGCTTGTCTCCTCACAGCGATTGGGAATAGTTCTACATTGTATTTTTCAATTGAGCTTGCTCCTTCTTAATATGTAGGAAGGCGTTCTGGCTTCTAGGTGAATGCGCTGGCAAGATAGCTTAGTGGACTAAGCACCTGCTTAGGCAAGCTCAGGGACCAGGGCTCGATCCTGGGCACCACATGCTGCACTGGCCCTGAGTGACTGACCGGCCACCAAGACCTGATGTGGTGATGCACACCTGTAATTCCAGTGCTGGGGAGGCTGAAAACAGGAGGATCACCACGAATCCGAGTGGCGCAGTGAGACCCTATGCCAAACACATAAGTTAAAAAAAAAGAAAAGAAAAGAAATGCACTGGCAACATGCACATCGGCCAAGCAGAGGAGAGCTCAGGCGGGGTGGGGCAGGGCAGATGCTCTCCACCCCACAGGCCTGCCTTCCCTTGAGGGAACTCCTGATAACTGAATGGGCAGATTCTATTCCTCTGGAGCACACCCTGAGCTTTCCAGGATAGGGCAAACCTGCATATCAATTTTCCCTTGGCCTAGGAGGAAAAAGGTAGAGTCCTCTCAGGAAACCCTTACAGGTGAGTACGACATAGCAGTCAAGGTGCTCTCATGAGTCTTATTTTTATTTTTATTTTTTTGTTGCTCGAATGCCTTCAGGGCACTTTTGGCCAGCGGGAGAGGTGTGAGGTTTGAACTCCAGCAACCTGAGGCTGACAGCTTTGTGGAAGCAGCCAATTAAAGGACTGAGCTAGGGCCAGGCCCCCTGTCCTACCAGTTTGATTTGTAACTGTCTCATTGCTATTTGTTTCTCAATAAAATTATGGAAAAAAACCCAGAATGTTTTAAGAGTCCACTAAATACTGGGATTAAGCAAGAGAAAGAGGCATAGAGGACCTGACGCCGGGCCTAGCTGGAGTCCCTGAGACACTTGGCTCTTACCTGATTGTCGAACCCGCTGCAGAGTTTGCTGGACCAGAACCTCCGACCGTGGGACGATGATGATGAAGTCCACTTTGCTGAAGTGGCCGAGGTCCAGGCTCTGGCTGCCACTGTCTGCAATGGCACACACCTGGGATAAGAGTTTTCTGGCCACTGTAAGTTGTGGTTGATAAATTTGGAAGGTTTCATTATCTAAATCTAAAATTAAAAAGAGTTACAAGTATGAGATTAATTTATTTCTGTGATGGTCACTGTGAAGTCACAAAGGGACATAAGCGTGCAGTGATTAACGCTCCAGCACCGGGACGTCTCAGTAGCTCTCCTCACTTGCTATTGAGCAGTAACAGATCTGCCTATTTTTCCTGAAAAGTGCTCAGGAGTTGCATGCGGCACTTCTACTTGTATTATTTTAAAATCCAGGATTGTCCCCAGATGCCCAATTCAACAACCCCTGCCCAGCCGGGCAAAGGTGGGGACGGAATGCAATCGCAGGCTGGGCCAGGCCTCAGCAGTAGGCAGGGCAGAGGGCCAGGCTCCTTTGACCTCAGCAGGCTGCTGTTGGGGCCTGCCTGGCCCCAGCTCTGGGAGTAGGTGAGGCTGTGACGAGTCACCACGGCAAGTCAGCTACAACACAATCTGAAATCCCTCTCCTGGGGACCAGAGGACAGAGGTCACAGACACACAACCCTCACCCTTCTTCTCACTCGACTACACTTTGCCAGCCTTGTGACCTGGCAGGACGCTGCGCTGTGGCCTGTGCCAGCGCTGAGGCCAGGACTATCTGATGAGACTGACTCGTGACTCTGGCAGCTGGCCTTTGAGTGTGTGATACGTTACACAACACTGTCCAGACCCGCAGTGCCTGTCAGTAGCTTTTTACTGCAAGCTATAATCGGGCCATCAATCTCTGGTATGTGTGTGTGCATGTCCACACGCAGCCGAAGCGACGGTATCGTAAAGAAACGTCTGAGCAGCAGCCTTCTGTCACTTAAGAGAGTCAAGGAGAACCTTTCAGGGCTTTCAGTGATGACAAGCAGCCCTGGTGTCACAGGCTTGCCACTACCGCCTGAAGCGCTGCTTTTATCAGGAACACATGTTGGCAGTTTGATGGGAACACAATCACAAGGGCCTAATTAACCCGTGCTAATTAATGTTTTCTAAAATCCAACTGCGATGTCACTGCTGAGGCAGGCAGCAGTCACAACATCCCACGCACAGTGGATGTTCACTGCAAGCTAAGAGATACAGCAGTCCCACAGTAGCAGAGCCCTCCGCAGAGCCCAGCAGGGCTGAGGGTGGGGCTCCACTAGCACACTAGCTTTGCAGGCACAAGGCCCTGGGTTTGATTCCTAGCACTGCCAGAAAAAAAAAAAAAAAAAAAAAAAAAAGCATCCCAAATAGTTTCTGCCTATAAAGTCACGCAAAACAAGTCTGGCTTCCACTAGTTAGGCTGCTCTTTCCTTCATTTCCTGGCTTTGATGGGCAAGGGCTACACCTACACATAAATATGTAGGGTTTGCCTTGGCAGATTCTGAAGTCTGAGTTAATACAAAATTATCCTTAAGCAGCCTTCTTGGTAATTAGGAAACCAAGCCTATGTACTTCTGTGTGTGCTGGATCCATAAATACTTGGGCAATATTTAAATTTTGTGTCTGTTAACAATTCAAAATTCAATTATTTTAGGTAATCTGGATAATGACTTTACTACCAAATACCATGTACAAGGCAAAACATTTTAGGGCGGGCATTTGTGCCTGCTTAGGGCTGCGCTGCTGCCAGGCCCCCGAGGAGGTCACCCTGAGCTGTGATGACTCTCCCATGCCCAGCTGCCAGAGAGCTTGGGCGGGCCTGCTTCCTGTCTGTCCTGTCCTCTGACCTTGATTATGTTTTCCCTGTCAATTAATGAAGCAGGGCAGGAGTTTAACCCAAAGGAACCCAACCTAATGACCAGAATCCTGCCGTGTGGCTCTCAGTCCGTGCTGGGCCCTGGCTGGTCATAGGCAGGAGGTGATGGGTTGCGATAGCTGCTCTGTCTTCCAGGAGAAATGCAGTCTCCCTGCAATTATGTGGGTTTTACAAGTCAGAAAGTGAGAAAAGGAGCCAGAGACTGGATTCGAGGTCCCGTAGCAAGCACAGTGACTGTCTGGGCATGGCTGATGGAGCTAAGAAAAACAAAAAACTAAAAAACCACTGAGAATCCTGGAACTTTTCAAGGAAAAAAAGACCATTTAAGATAAAGCGTTTGACTTTGGCTTTAATTTCTGGAGACTTTTACTAAAATGAAGGCATTTAATCCAGGGCCCTGGGTATGGCATTTTTCCTTAGAACCAGATTTGTTACGTGGACAATGAAGCGAAGCCTGTTGTGGTCCATGTCCTGAGAACTCCCCCAAACCCTGAGCGACCCAGCTCCATTAATATCTGTCCTGCGGACTGCCTTTCTCCTCTCCAGAGGGCTGAGGTGACATTACCCAGGTTTTGCGTGGGAACCATAGCAGCAGCCTCCTGTGGTGACACACATTCACTGAGGTCTCCGTTGAATGGGGTGACCACGCTATCCCCTCTGCTTTGGTGCATTTTTTCTAGCAGCCTGTCCAGGTCATCGCCTGTGCCAAAGTAAGGTGGAGATAAAAAGCTGAGGAGGAGTGAAGGGCCTGCGTCCTCCCTCCCGCTGTCCAGGCTAGGTGTTCGCTGGGTTTGTGAGCACACCTGTGGTCTCAGGCAAGAGCCACCCTCGCTGGACACAAGCTTTCGCCCCAGACCTCCACAGTATCCTGGAGCACGCAGAACAGGATCATTCTTGCTCCATGTGACAATAAGAATGCTGGGGTGTGGGGAGCGGGAGCACCTCGCCCCAGCTGTTCACCAAGGGCAGCCTGGCCGAGTCTCTGAGCTCAGACCAGGACCCTCCCTGGGCCCCTGCCTGCTTCCTGTGGGACCAGACCCAGACTTCTGGGGATAAACTATTCCAAAGAGGAGATCAGCTGGTGAGCGACCCCTCCCCACTCATCCCGACAGGCTAAGGTTGCAATCCAGACGGCCACACAGCCAGGGGCTGGCAGCGCTGCCGGCCTTACAGCCACTCACCTAGTGACGTGGTTTTGAAATGTGATGCCAGGAAACTGACCTTTCCCGTGATGAGCTCATAACTAATTTCTTTCAAAAACTCACTCGTGGTGAGCATGCTCTCGGCCAGAGCCCGAGACTGATGGTGACCTGAGAACAGAGAGGAGAGGACGCCTCAGTGCCACAAGCGCTCGATGGAGCGGCAGTCGCAGCAGGCTGCCACAGCTGGAAACAACGAAAGGACGTGAGGACAGGGACTTGGCTCAGAAG